TTGGTTTGAGACAGAATTTTCCTCTTGTTGCCCAGGCTGGAGTGCAATGGGACAATCTCGGCTCACTGCAACCCCCACCTTCTGGGTTCCAGTTATTTTCCCATCTCAGCCTCCCAAGTAGCTGGAATTATGAGCGCCCGCCACCATGCCCGCCTGCTTTTTGTATTTTTAGTAGAGACGGGGTTTCTGCTAAGTTGGCTAGGCTGGTCTCAAACTCCAGGCTGGTCTGACCTAAAGTGATCCACCTACCTTGGCCTTCCAAAGTGCTGGGATTACAGGCGTGAGCCACCACGCCTTGGTCCTTTCTTTCCATTTTTGCCTGTAGACGTTTTGAACTCCTTTTGAGCAGTTGGAGGTGAACTGTTTCTTCTGAGCCAGTGATTTGATTTGTAGACTTGTGGAAGAAGATTACTTAGTCGTGACAGTGGATGATTCTTGTAGTATTTTTTTGCTGTTGACATAAATGGTTTCTGATTCAGGCAGAGTTGTCATCTGGATCATATTACCACCTCTTGGACTCTTACTTAATGATAATAAAGACAACAGGAAGATCATTCTTATTTTAACAGTTCAGTTTTGCAGGATTTTTTGTTTCTTTTAATATTTTTTATCATATTTATTGAACTTAGGCACTGTAGGCAGTGCTAGAGGTATAAAAATGAATACACACTTTTAATCAGTTTTGCCTTTGCAGTATGGTGGAACCTATTGCCTTTGGATATTTTAAAAGATCTTTTTACCTTTAGAACCATGTCATATTCCCATCTCTGCTTTGGGGAATCTCAATGTGGTACGTAATTGGCTGTCATTCAGTTCTTTTGAATCAATAATAGCCACATACTTTAAAGATTCTATTCTGAAAGGCACATCTCAATGGCTGCCAAAGCTGTGATTTACTGTCTTGATGCCACATGAAGCTAAGTTGTATATCCTTTCTCAGTTCCTTGTCATATTTGTTCCTTTTTTATATTATCTTTTTCTGTATCATATTTGAACAGAGAATAACTTTAGAAGTAAAATGGGCTCTGAAGTACTAGTTGAAAGGTTTAAGAATGTCAGCCTTTCTGGGCCAGTGATCTCTTAAGAACTTCTCTGAGAGCATCTGTTGGTTTTGCCTATACAGGCCCATCCATAGTCAGTCTATTCATAACCGAGTGTCTGCTGCTGTGTCCTCCATTGTTGATTTCTCTCCATTGACATTTGGTTTTGGTGACTGGAAATGCTTTGCAGCCGCTCTCATCTTTTATTGAGTGGATCTTGCCTTGTACCAGGAACTTTAATTTGGTCCATGTACATTTCTCTTCCTTAAACCAGGAGTCAGTGGTGGGGGAAAGCAAGGCTGCCTTCCTCTAGTTTTACAAAACCAAAGGTTAAACCCTTAACCCTTTGGTGTAATGTTCTGCCAATCTCTATATACTATGTCAATTCACTATACCAAATCTTTTCCTTTTGGAAATCAAGGTACATTGGCTTTATGTGTCCAGGGCTTACCTTGGGATGTTGGTAAGAGGAGATAGACTTAATTTCCTTAGAAGGCAGGACATAAACATGGCATGTCTGGCACCAGGTAAATTATTTTAGGCCCAGCATTTTAAGCTTTGTAGTTTGAAACACTTCAGAGAGAAATTCTGTTGCTTCAAATGCTTCAGTTTAACATGCTTCCACTTAGATCTGATGAATAATCTTTGTTACCAGTAGATGGTAGAAGATAGTTATTAGAATACTTTTGATGAAAGAATCTCATAGTTAGAATTAACTTGTATTTGAGGCATTAAGCAAATTTAAGCGTCATCAATGAATTGTTGATGCATAACCTGTGAGGCTTATAGGGTAGAGCTGGGAGGTAATGCAGATTGGCAGGGCAAATATCCCAAGATCAGGTACAGAATAATTGAGTTGGAATGATGTCAGACCACACTTGGCTCAATATTTAGAAGTAAGGGAGGAATTTACATAGCTCAGTGGAGAAGTATAAACTTCTTTATACAGGCTTGACAGTTTTTTTCCTGTACTATTTACTATCGTACCTGGGACTTATTAAGAGTCATGCTATTATATAAAGTTAGGTTCGAGAGTAGAGAACTTGACCAAGAGCTACAAAGTTGTGGCTGGGCTTTGGGTAGGAAGAAAAAAAAGGAAAGAAGAAAATGGGTTGGTGGAACATTGGGTATAGTAAGACTGTTCTGAACTCTGTAACATAAATGTATGTTTGTCTCCCCCATTTGGCAAGACCTTCTGCAGTGTTCCTGCCTCTGTGTTGTTTGTTAATTAGATTGTAATGTCTGAAAGGGCACAACACTCTCCTGTTCTGAGTAGCATCTAGTGTAGTCTGGTGCCTACAACGGTTGCCCATTATTATTAGTTGATGATGATTAGTGAAGCTGAAGCTATTTTTTAAACAGGGCCCAAGGGATGCAGACAGTGATGAAAACGACAAAGGTGAAAAGAAGAACAAGGGTACGTTTGATGGAGATAAGCTAGGAGATTTGAAGGAGGAGGGTGATGTGATGGACAAGACCAATGGTTTACCAGTGCAGAATGGGATTGATGCAGACGTCAAAGATTTTAGGTTTGTATGTTTTACACTTCTGATTTTTGAATGTGGGCTATGGGTTTTTGTTTGATTTAGTTTTACTTTGATTTTCATTTTCTTCCCCTCCTCATGTTTTCTTCTTAAGAATCCAATCGAGTGTAGGCCATGCTACAAAGATTGTAAATTAACTGGTGAGGTGGAATTTTCTAAAAACTTGTCAATGCTTGAAGCGTTGCCAAAATGGTAGATTTTGCATTTGCATAGAACTCTAGAGTTAGCAGAAAGATTCCAGAGAAGATTATTTCAGTGATTCTCAAATATTAAAATCACCTAGGATAGATGCCTTGGGACCTTTCTTAAGTTTCTCCCAAATCACTGTATTAGAGAGCTATGGTTACTAATGGAGTATGTTATATCCCTCTGGTAGTTTAGAGGGAAAAACATTTGAGAACTTGTGCATTGTCTCATGAGCTCCTTTTGAGGTAGGTGGACCAGATATCATTGTCCTCATTTTGAAGAACCGGAAATGCAGCTTAAATGATTTGTTCTTAATCATATGTCTTCTGCAGATACCTCTCATCCCACCTTTGGTCATGATTGATTTTTACAGGTTTTTGTGTTAACTTACTTTACAGAGTATTAAAATAATGTATATTTATCTTCCACAATTGGCATGTATTCTTCTTTAAAAATCTGTAAAAATCCTTGTCAAGTTATGTACAGGTAGTGAATTTTTTTTAATCCCTAGTGTGATGGTACAGGTAGAGAATTTACTTTGGAGTAATTTTAATATCAATCTAAAGCTAACGTGTGTGTGTGTGAGCATGCACACACACACACACACACACACACACACACCCTCTGCTTATTCTAATGTCTGCCAAAGTCAAAATGAAAATGTATTTGCATCATTGTTGTAGGACAAGTCTCAGTTGTTTTGTATTCCTAATATGATTATCGTTATCTTGCATTGTGTAAATAATTGCAGTCTTACAATTTTTTAAAAATTATTTTTATTATTTTTTGGAGACAGAGTCTCACTCTGTTACCCAGGCTGGAGTGCAGTGGCACGAAATCAGCTCACTGCAACCCCTACCTCCTGGGCTCAAGCAGTCTTCCCACCTCAGCCTCCCGAGTAGTTGGGACTACAGCCGCCCGCCACCATGCCGGCTAATTTTTGTATCTTTTGTTAGCGACGAGGTTTCACCATGTTGCCCAGGCTGGTCGTGAACTCCTGAGCTCAAGTGGTCTGCCTGCATTGGGTTTCCAAAGTGCTGAGATTACAGGCATGAGCTACCATGCCCAACCTGAATTACAGTCTTTGGAAGAAATTTAAGGCACAAGGTAATAAGTACTTAACTAAGGTCTTTCAGATGAGGTCAGGTGTCCCCTCTACCTTGAATGTCCAGCAGCCTGTATAGCAGTATTTTGTTGTATTTAAATGGGGGCTGGCAGTGGCGGTGGTGGTGGTGGTGGTGGTGGTGGTGAGTGTGTGTGTGTGTGTGTGTGTGTGTGTGTGTATGGGTGAGTGAAAGAAAGAGAAGGAACCAAATAATACCTTTAATATGTACTGGTTACTGGATTACAGAATTTTTGGGGGTTGGGGGTGTGGAGGTGGAGAAGGGCATTGAATGTAGCTATCGGCTACACTCTCCTGATAATATAATATAATATTATATATTAGTGTGATTTGGGATCATATAATTCTCAAGTCCTTTTATATAAGGTAGTGGTAGATCCTGGGTTACCCAGAACCTTGTGTCCCATGATAATTATCAATGATGATGACCCACCCTTTTTTTTTTTTTCTCTCAGGCATGTCCTGGTTTGGATGATAAATTACACCTTCACATTACTTTCAATTCTTAGAATTGTCTCCTTAACAGGGGCATGCAGATAATGAGCTTATCTTGTCCTACTTTGGAATTGTCTACTCCTTTTGGTTTCATAGAAGGGGACTTAGTTTTAGCGTTAGTCAGTAATACCAGTGATAAGTAAAAACTTTTTTCATTTTCTTTTTTCCCTCACAAATATGCCAGGAACATAAAACTTTTTAGAATCAGTGAGAAACCGACTTTTTCCATTGGCTCTATATTTAAAGAGTAGATATTGCTTTTTGGTGGGGCATATTTTGCTACCTGCATTTTGGAATCTGTTTTCATGGATGCCATAGACAGTGATTTTTCCACTTTATTTCAGTTTTCCTCAAACCCGGTTCCCTTGGCGACGGGGTGTAAATTATTAGCAATTAATGTGAATTTAAGGGGTGGGTTACATGGAATTGCCAGCAATAGCAGCATCAATTTAGATGATGTAACCCTGTAAGCACTGTAAAGTATCTCTGGTGGTTTTATAGAAATAGTTTTAAATACTGTTGATAATGAGCTATGCTGAGGACATTGTCCTTAAACTTGGGTTACTGTAGTATCCCTCCCCGCTGAAAATAAGGTTTAATGCCCTTTACTTTCTCTGTTTAGCCGTACCCCTGGTAATTGCCCGAACTCTGCTAATGAAGTGGATCTTCTGGGTCCAAACCAGAATGGTTCTGAGGGCTTAGCCCAGCTGACCAGCACCAATGGTGCCAAGCCTGTGGAGGATTTCTCCAACATGGAGTCCCAGAGTGTCCCCTTGGACCCCATGGAACATGTGGGCATGGAGCCTCTTCAGTTTGATTATTCAGGCACGCAGGTACCTGTGGACTCAGCAGCAGCAACTGTGGGACTTTTTGACTACAATTCTCAACAACAGGTACTGTGTGTGTCTCTGTCACCCTCTCTACTCTCCCTCCAGCCAGTACATTGTTGAAGTAATTAAGGATGGGGGGATGGGGGGAGATGGCATTGTTTCAGGCTATCCATAGCTAGTCCTTATGAACCTTTTAGTGATGTAGGTTTACAGAGTCCCCTCATGAAGCGGGTCCCTATGCTGAGGTCACTGGCAAGAGGCCACCCTGCTCTATATGTACTTCCTTTGGCTCTTCTCTCTCCTCAGCAGCTGGGGAGTGGATGAGGTAGTGCTGCCTCTTATAACACAACCTTCTTGGGTGCTAAATTAATCTCTCTGAAGATTTATGTGGTTGTGATGCTGTTGGTTTGTTTTGTTTTTAAAATAGTAAACTCTACTGTCCACCACTGTCAGGAGTATAGTGCCAGGTCATCTTATCAGTTACGCCTTACAGTTAAACAGGTTACTCCAGATAACATAGGTAAGGATTTGGTACCTTTCAAAAGTATTAGAATGTGATCACAGGAAACCACACACACAAATCATTCAACATAAAATCTACCGTGAAATTGCTTGGTTCTTTTTTTAAAAAATTCATAAGTCTGTGGAAAATTTTCTAAGTCTGCCTTCTGTTTTTGAAGACATGTAGGACTACCTTTAGGGTTACCTGATCTCTGTGTTTATTTATTTATTTTTTTAAAGGAAGGTCAGCTGTCTGAACTAGAAAAGAGGGGCAGTTAGTTTTCCAATCTTGTTAAGTATAAGTTCTCCCTTGTGGCAGAAGCAGTTTGATTGACTGTGAATTTCGGTTACTCTTTAGTAGTTTTGTAATAGATCGTTAATACAGACTTCTAGGTTTGAAAGGTTAGCATCTCATTTTAAAGTTTAGAAAGTCTATGTAGGGAAATTAGCTTATGATCTTTGGAGATTAGTTGTGCCATGTTGTACATTTAGTTATTGTCATAAATAGTTGATACTAAAATGAATTTTGGTTGATAGACAGCTAAAGTAAAAAGTTAACCATAAGAACTTTTCCAAAAGAAATCTCTTTAATTTAAGTCTCCTGTGTGGTTTATGAACAAGAAATACCTTTAAGGGATTGTGTGAATGTACATATTCATATAAGGTTAAATTAACAAATCTTTTTTTCAGAGAGAGTAAACTAAAAGTGAACACTCTTCTCCTTAGGTATGCCCGCCTCCGCATATGAATTGACTTTCTGTGCTTTCTCTTCTTCTTTATGGCCATTTTTGGGTGTTTGCGTCAATTCCCAGTGTAGTACAATCTAACCATTTCCGTGTTTTTAAAGAAGAGTTTGTCTCAAATTTCTTATGAACAAAAATATGGTTCTCTTTCATTTAACCGTTCTTTACTTCATAATCAGAGTTGAGATCCTTTTTTTGTTTGTTTTCAAAATAATTTTACCAGTTTTTGGAGGCTGAACAATTATTAGAACTTGAACAGAAATGTACTTTTGTGTACCCACAAGTAGTTAGCATGATTACATCATAGCTACCACTTGTTAAAAAACGTAAAACCAAGGGTGTCCTCACCATATATCTCAGCAGTTTTTGAAAGAAAACATTATTTTGAAAGTTAATCTCTTGTTGGATTCAGGTTTCCTATGCATGTTTTGGTTGCTGCAGAGGCATTTTTACACAGACATAGTACTGTCATGATGTGAGTGTTGTTTTATCTCATGGGCCATAATTCTTTTCTGAGTAGATTGTTTTATACATTCTTGTACCGGCTGTCTTAATAGCATACTTGGGAACCACTGGCCTAAGCCTCTTAGCATCTTTAAGATCGTCAGTCTCTCAGTGTTACTGTAATGAGAGCCAGTAGTTGTTAAGAAGGAAGGATTTCTTTTCTTTTGGAAATTGGTGTTTGTTTCTTACATTTTATCCTTAACCTTTTGGTTTTCATTACGTTTTATTCCACTTTTCATTTCTAATTTAAATCCTCTTCATTTGTCAAGGTTCAATACTGTCACCTTTCTTTCTTAATAACCAAACCAGAAATCTGTCATGTCTGCCTCCCTTGAACTCCATAGCGTTTTGTGTTTCCTTTAAGAGAAGGTCTTGTGTTGTGATTACTTGTCTAATAGTCCTTGCCAGATTGTAAACTCCTTGAGGGCAAAGACCAAACCTTATCCCATTTCCTCTGCATTGCTTTAACAGAAGAAGATTTCAGGGGACTTTCCCCCATCCCTATTATAGTATCTTAGTGCATCCTCTGTAATATGCTTCCCAAAATTAAAATTTGAAGCTAGCCTTTCAGAAGGTCTGGAGGCTACTCTTTGAGAGCCACCATGTTTTCCAATATGCGTGTCCTTTGGATCCAGCTTATGCCTTATATACAGATAACTATACTTTATAATATCCAGGAAAGTTACTGCTTGGATCAGAACTTAATCTATCCAGGCTCACTCTGTGGCCATCTGATCAGAAACCATGGTCCCTCTTATGAGAAAAATGTACATAATTCTCTGGTACTCAGTTTTGCAGGTAACTTCAGGGAAACCACAGATCTGTGTTTTACAGATACAGCCTTCTGTTCATATCTTTTGTTCATTGTAGCTAAGCATATCTTTCATGAATAGAGTAAAATTCCCTTTCCTCCTCTCGAGTTGCTCTCAGGTTAGTCATTGTGACTCATGTTGTCATTTAAATAGTGCATGGAAGTACTCAATGACAAGGGATGCAACCATTTATGCCCATGTCCTTGGAACCCTACAACTATGGAGAGTGTACTCTGGCATCAGGAAGGGAAGGACTTGTGGAGGAGGTGGTTTTTTAGCTGTGCCTTGAAAAACTTATTTATAGAGGAAGAAAATGAGAATTCTAGTGCAGGAAATGGTAAAACAGGTATGTGTTCAGTAGATAATGTATAAGTAGTCAGTCTGGTTGGTGGTTTAGGTTGAAGAAAAATAGCTAGAGAGGTTGAAGGGACAGTGTTGTGAGTCTTACACTGTGCTGCCTATAGGCAGAGAGAAGACACTGAGAGGAGGAAGGACTTAATTATCATAGTTTAGTTTTTTGTGTTTAGTGAGTTTAGCAGCAGTTTGAGACGTTCTATTAGTATTCAGTTAACTGTTGACTGTTGTGTCCTTCTAGGAACCTTGGGTTCTGAATGAAACGGTAGTGGAACATTTGGGGAACTAAGTGCTAAATCGGTGGGTTCTGAATCCTCTCAGACAAGGGGAGGGCTCAATGAAGACAAAAGTTGCATGCAACTGACTTGAAGGACAGGTGGAATGCATTTTGTTGCAGGTGAGAGCAGAGGTATGGAGCTGGAAGTGACTGTGGTGTGGTCCTGGGCTGAGGAGAGTAGAAGCTGAGTGTAGAAGAGGACAAGAAGGTGCCTTTGGCAATTGAGTCCAGGTCCTGGAGGCCCTGGGAACCAGGTGGAAGTCTTTCTTGGACAGTACTGATGATTGTGAGGGTTGAACCAGAGTTCTAGTGCAGCACATATTTTTCTGCACATTCTGTTCTTTTTATCTTGGCTTTTTAAAATAAGCAATAAAGGTGATCATTTTTCTTGGTTTAGGGTTGTTTGCTACAAATGGTAGGTTTGCTTTATTTGTGACTTTTTAGGAAAGGATTCTGGTTTGGAGATTGACAAAAGAATTCCCCCTTTTGTTCTATTTCTTTTCAATCTGGGCTTTGATTTGGTATAATATGCTGGTTTCCTCAAACTTATTATCAGCTTATAGTGAGAAACATGACATGGAGCAGCCTGCAAATAGGGGAAAGGTACTTTTCATTTGGTTCCTTGCAAACTTAGTTCTTGTTAGCTGTGACACTTGAGGTTTTGAATAGTCAGTTACTTGTCTGGTCACTGTTAATCACTCTGAATTTAACCCTTCTAAGGTTTACGTATAAGAGCAGGAGTTCCTAATTCTTTTTTGTTTTTGTGTATGCCGAGAACTTCTTTAATAGGTGAACTGTGTGAACTATTTCTCAAAATTATGTTTAGAATGTATAAAGTAGAATTACAAAGGAAACCAGTGGTATAAAAATAGCTGTCATATTTGAAAACAAACTTAATTATATATTTACATATTTATCATATGATGCATGAAATAGAAGTAGTGTACTAGCTGTCATAATGAGCGTAAACTATTTTGAGATACTTGCAACAACTGTAAAGTAACATGAAAATATATGTGATTTCTGTGATAATGTCACAGATGTATTGCTAAAGTTCACGTAGTTTGTTGTCTACAGTCATAATTGAAGAATATCCTAAATTTCAGGTAGATATGCATGAAGATAAAGTTGCAGTATTACCCACCCAAGTACAAAGATCTTGGGTTGAGAACCTCTGAGTTAGAGCGTTTTACCAGCTCGAAGTGATCGTTGTTATTTCTACAGTGTTCTTTGTCTCACATTCACTTCATTGTCTTCTTAATCTTGAGGAACAGCTGTGAGCAGTTCATGCACAATGTGTTCATACCATTTTGTACTGTGATGTTGGAGCAGTATTTTTTACAAAATGTTATACAGTTGGCTGTTTGTTTCCTTAAATGCAGTGTAGAAACTTATTACTAGGTTTTATTACAAATGTGGCACAAACCAAAGCCAGGATTATATCAGTGTAGAATTAATCATACTGTTGATGTTCTTTATTTAGAATTCAGTTAATCTACAAATCGCCTAATGTAGCATATTTTACAAAATTGGATACTATTATACTAAAACTCTCATCTGTTAAGCATGAATTTTAACAAAGATGCAATAGATGGGAGTGGAAGTCAGCATGTGTTGTTAAAAGTGTGGTGGTGTGATTAGATGTCATTTTTGTGAGACCAAGTGTGTATATAGTTTTAATGTAGGTATTTAGTGTTCTCAACCTGCTCTTTAATTTGCAAATGATAATTCTGTCAAGTGTCATGTGAATAGTAACTGAAAAAAAGAGTGACTAGTAATTGATCAGTTGAAGCTCACCTCTATTATTTGACTTTGTTCAAATTTTACTTATGGTAAAGTTTTTCACAAAAGGTATTGCTGTACTTAGTGGAG